CCTCCTCTTGCCCTCATTGTCAAGTCCTAAAAGCTGCCTGAGAGAAATAAGCATGTTCATCAGAATGAAAGTTACGGCAAAGTCTTAAGATGCTTCTGTCTGGAAGAATTTATTTCTCCTGCTCTGCTGAAATCTTCAACTTGTCTCTGATATTTGGGTATTTTTGCAGCCAGATAGAGCTCAGCTTTCTTTATCTGATTGTTTTTTGATTTGTATTTCTGTTAAAGTACACTCATTTTTATATTCTTTGTAGTGTTAATGATGTTAGTTCTCTTACCTTGCTTTTAAGTTACATATACGAAGGAGTACTGGGTAGCTGTTTTATAAGCTTTTGAAGAAGAAATTTGTTAAATGACACCATTTATTCCAAAAAGTCAGTAACACTAAATATAACTTCAGTGAGGAAAGAGTTAAGGAACTTCTTGGTTCTCCTCTGCCATTAGTTTGAGCCAGGAGACAGCTCCCCTGACTTGAATCCTGGATCAGCATGTTGGCTCCACTGAGCAGTAATAGAGGAAAAAAAGGAAGAGAAATGTAAAAATGATCTATAAGCGAGAATGTCTCTATATATAGAAGTTTTCCATGAAGCACTAGACACTCTAAGAACTAATGGCAAATTGGCCCAAATCATGCAGTGCTTGCAAACTATACTGAACTTACTGTTTCTGCTCCAAAGATGCATTGACATGTTTTCTTTGGAACTACACAATCAGTCTTGAACAAAAATGTTCGGTTCCATTACATCTAGTTATTCGTACTGCTTTTTATTTATAATCCTGTACTGCTCGTTACTTAACAATTATTGCACATCATGTACAAAACTTAATAAGCAGTGAAGCTAGTTGATTGGGCTGACTTGGGTGGGGGGAGGAAGTAGATGTTATTGGATATTTGGAGAATAACAAATTAGATTATCATAATGCTTAGCCATACAGGGAGGTAAGACCTCTTTTCCTTCCTAATTCCTTCTGCTTAGTTCTCCTGCAGTTGTAATGAATGCTGCTTGCCCTTACTCCATTTGCACACTAATGGATAGAAAAGGACAGAAAAATGGAAGAAGTTCTTTACTCACTGCCCCTCAGTCTCCCCTTGCTTACAAGAGCAAGTACGTGAGGACACAGAGTAATTAGCTGCATTTTTAGAACAGGAAAACATCTTGTTTCCTGCTGCAAGGAAGAATCTAGGAGGGGATAGGGATTTCATTCCCGAGACTGCATAGCAAGGAACTCTTGCCTACTCCAGGCAGCTCGAAACGCTGGGAGCATAGCCAGTAAGTACAACGCGATTGGGCTTTGCTTGGTAGAAGGTCCAACATTAGTCACTACAGCAAGGCATTGCATGTAGGGAGCTACAAGAACACTGCTTGGTGTTTAATGATACTTGAAAAGCAACAGGATATTAGAACCTGTAAAGGCTGAAATACGAGTAACACCTGGAAACACCCTGATGGATTTGCGGAACACTGAAGGCACATCAGTTCCCTCCATAATACTATGTTGGCTTTCGGCCATTTGATCACACAAGAAACAATACAATACTTTGTATTTCAACGGTTTCCACTCAAACCCGTTTTGTCGCTGCTGTTGTGAAGGATGGAGTTCTTTATTCTCTTCATCCCACCACGTGGGAGGATGCTCTCTTTTAATAGTGGACTATGGTAAGAGATGGTGGAAGTACAAGAGGCATGTTAATCACTGAAGTGTTGGACCAGGAAAGTACTGAAAAAGGCAGCTGATGAGATTGTGTGCCTGTGGTTCCCAGGAACGCGCGCTTGGCGTTGTCCTGATGAAGGAACTTGGGGCAGTGCCATTTAAAAAGTAATTCTTTTCTAGCCATCATCACATTCTAATGTGTAGGGTATGGTCAACAAAAGCTTCATAACTCTTGTCTGAAGATGGCAAATATCGGATATATCTTTTAGCTTCTGAAACTCTTAACTGTCTGTAACAGAGAGAGGGAATTACATTTTTCCCTGGTGTTATACATGCCAATACATTTCCTCGGGAATATCCAGTGGTTTGCAAAAATGATTGCCCTAAATGAGCAGAAGACAAGCATGAAACTTGACTGACCCTGTGCAGTAGACTCTCTTGTTTGCTTCCATTTCAAATACAGGGATTCCTTTTGTTGCTAAAATCTGAGCAATCCGAGCTGCTGCTTTTTTGGCAGGATGGCAGCTGAGCTCTGCTCGCAGCGATAAGGGGGCAGCCTCTGTTAGCTGCTTGATCGCTGCATTAGGCAAGCGCAGCATTACTGAGCAAAAGGCTTTTAAAGAGGCATTGGGAGGAGTGTGTTCATTAGAACGCAGTGTAAGGAGAATAAGGCAAGCTGGACACAAGTTCCCCCTAGTGAGGGAATCGATAATAGCTTCTGCTCAAGGCAGCAGCTATAAAAGTAGACTACGAAGATAATGAACTTCGCTACATTACATACATGTATCTTCTGCTTGTGTGTGAATTTAAAGGGCTTAGAGACAGGAAGAGAAGTATGGGAAGCATGATGAAGTCCTTACCCAGGTAATTCCATGTAATTCCATTGTTTTCTTTCTTTTTTTAATCAGCACTTTTATATCTCTTTTAGTCTTAAACTTTTGTTTCATATAGTTGTGTATTTGTATAGTTCGTGCATATTCTCATTGTCCGAACCTTGCAGAAAGAAAATCACAAAGTTTAAGCTTACCAGGTTTTTCTTACCAAATGGCTTTTTAAGCACAATATAGAAGCAGTTTTTGACCCTGTGGGCTATTTTTCACCTTGTGGTTCAGAGCTATTAGTATAACAGCTTCCTAAAAATGCACGTGTGGAAAATCTGAAGGGAAAGTGGCTGTCTTGGTGGAGAAAATTAATCTACTTTTCCTAGTTTTTCCAGAAACTTTACATATAGCTGTGGACAATTCAATTCTATTCTTCCTGATAATATTTCCCTAAAAGAGGTAAACTAATGGCTACCTCAGGGTGTTCTGATATGACAGTTATGGATGCCATATGTGCAAATATGCCTACACAGATTTTGATCCTTTTGGTACTGTGAATCAAAATTACTTGTCTTGTGTGACTTTCTTTATGAAATAACAAATAATTGCCATCCTATACAGACTGGAAATGATACTTGGAAAACTGAAAATTATGTCAGTGATTCCTTTCCCCTGTTGCTCACAAATTCAGTTTGGTTGCATATACAGAGTCACTATCTGGCAATAATAGTCACCTAGATCTGTAAATCCTGTCAAACATGTATTTTTCTAAACCTTTCACTATATTCAGATGGGTTTATTATTAGCCAAAGATAGTGGGCTTTAATGGTGTACTTACGTAGGAAAAATCAGTAGTAGAGAGGAAATAACTACTCAGAAAAAGCCATTCTCATATGTACAGGGTTTGCACAGATGGATAATCTAAGGAACACAGAGGAAATCATCAGGATCTTAGTGGTATTAAAAACCAAAACAACAGCATCTCTTCTCTGTGTTCTGCACTTGCTGCTAAGCGTACAGACGACTCTCATCCACAAATGCTTGTGCTTAGTCCTGAGTGACATCTGATGAAAAGCACCGTTTCGGGAATTACATGCAGGAGACTATTTGAAGGAAAGGGAATCACAAGTACGAGATGCAACTTGCCTTTAAAGTGAGCATTTGAAACTGAGTAAGGTAAATGCAGCGTTCTGTCTCCCCCCTTTGCACAAAAATACAGCGCTGTGCTACAGAAGTACAGAGGGGTTTATCCCTTCTCTGTACGCAGATAAGCCGTACTTCTAGTGGCCACCAAAGTGTGTGAAGAACCTCTTAGTGAGTTAATGCCCTCTGTCACAGCACCCACCGGAGCTGCCAAGCCAGGACCGCCGCTTCGGGAAATGCCGCTTGCTGCCGGGGTGGATTCCCAGCAACTGTGCTCAGTGTCCAGGGCAGCGAAGCAGATCTCCCTGCCCTCCGCTCACTCCTCTTCTGTGCTGGGCTGGTGTAACTGGTTGCACAGACCCATCAGCCGAATCTGTTACCTGTTACCCGATTATTAAATTCTCAGCAGTGCATGGTAGAGCAATGCTGTGTTTCTTTCAAAGAGGAAAAAGATGGGAGCAGTCTGCAAGCCACACTGGACATTTAATGTATCAGAAACTAAGGTGAATTTTCTCTCTTACAGCCCCAGAATCTGAGGTCTTCATGAATTACGAAAAGGCAAACTGCTGATTCAGTTGTAAAGGTTTTTCGTAGCCCAATTCTTGCAACAAAATGTGTCTCCTGCAAATAGAACAGCTCTCAGCTAGTACAGATTGTCAATCTGGACTATTTAAGAGTTTTGTTAACTTAAACACAGTGCCTCAAAATTGTCAGTATTACTTATTTCGAAATGATCGTTTGATGATGCTGAAAAATTTACTACATTTCCTTTGAGAAACTTGTTTTAAAAACCTCGTCATCCATTACCAAACAGTATTCGTGGATGTATACGTATTCTGAATGACTAACGTTGCTGAATCACAGTGATGGTGCGACTTAATTATACGTGTATTGGCAGTAGCGTTCATAAGCTTGTTTTCTATATAGGAAAACCAACATTTTGAGGAAGTATTTTTTCAGTCTTCCAGAAGTTGACAGCTAGAGCTGACAGAAAGGTGGCATGCAGAACTCAAGTGTGGTCTGGGAGATATGATGTCTCTTCAAATATAGATTTTAAGTGGGCTGTCTATGTATAACCAGCTTCAGGAGAATCCTTAAAAAAAATGCATCTATTATTTAATTATTCTAATTATTTTCTTTAACTCTTTTTGAAGCTTTATTAGTTTTATTTAATCTTAAATGTTTTCTGGCTTCTGAGAAGGATGACTGCTTGTGGAAGCCCTCAGATGCGAGGAGCAGAAAGGCACGATCTCCCACTTCACAGCAACGCACACAACCTCTACAGCACATTGATAGGTTTTGTTACTGTTTGCTTTTCCACTTGTTTGCAGAGGGAAGGTGTGAGTGTATCTGTAACACCTTCCTACAACCTTTTTATTTACAGGGACATGGCTGAAGAGTAGTTTGGGCCTTGTACAACAAGAAGGAAATCAGTTAACTTGGACTTATATTGCACCTCAGCTGGGCTACTGGGTTGCAGCTATGTCACCTACTATCCCAGGTAAGATGGAATTGAATTTTATTGATATTCCCAGCATTGAATAATTCTTTATTCATATATATAACATTCGTATTTTTCAGAATGACCTCATCTGAGATGCCACAGCTTGATCAATAATGGATTATTAGAAAACAGAAATCTGAAAGTAAAGGGTTAAAAATATTTTGGGGGTTGTGGGGGGCAAGTCTTGTGCTCAAAATCTCTGAGTCATTTCAATGCGAAACTTTTTAAAGCGTTCCTACTTTGATGCATTTATGTCACCACTGCCTGGTAGAGCCATTGCTAGAAAATGGGGGAAGTTACAACGTCAATGTACTGGTGTTCCAGCATGTAGAAAAATACGTGCTGTGAAGTTTCTGTACAGAAACTCTTAAAGAAATGGATTCACCTGAGACCAACATCGTCTTGGGTTAGCCGTTTACTAGTGGGTTGATTGACTGTAACTTCTTCTTTTAAACCAAAGGTGCCCATTTTGCCCTGACTTATGCTTTTCATCATCTTGGTGACTGATTAATTTATACGACACATAACTTAGCGTAGAAGTTCTAGGAATTGTACTAGCAGAGTGGCATTGGCAGATGAGCTGACTGGTTGCCATCTGCAAGCCTCTTGGCATCGCTGGAGAAAATCACTTTGAACTAGGCACTATATGTACTTCTGTGCCTGTGGAGATTATTATCGTTGCAGCTTGCTCTTCCTTTTTTTCTGCCTGTGGCTGCCTCAGATTTCTTAGCATTAGTTCTTCAGCCACCAATAATCAGAGATACCTCCGTATAAAAGAGCCAGTCGATCAAACAAGAAACCTCTTTCTCTTACAGATTTTCTTTATTAGGTTTTCTGGATGAAAACCAAATACAGTAGGAATGAAAACACTCATGCCTTGGCCCTGCAAGCTAAATAAACTGTGTCTGACCAACAAAACAAACTCTAACATGAGGACTGTTTTTAAAGCCTGCTTGCATATGCCATGATGTTGTTTCATGATATGCAGAGTATTTGGGGGTTTTGCTGTGTTATACCTTACGCAAGCTTTATATTTAAGGTTATATTAAATGAAACTGCTGGAATATTCAGCTGATTCATGGCTGAACAGATTTTAGAGGCAGGTGCAGATCTGAATAAACGATCATATGGAATTTTACAAAATAATTGTATTTTAAGAAAAAGCAATTGCTCTGAGCCAAACATTTCCCAGTACAGCTGTACAGCTCTGTCACAAACTGCAAGGAAGTTATACTGGGTCATGAAATTGTGCCTGTAAGTCTAAGGTTAGAAGGCCTGCAACTCTAACAGGAGAAGGCTTATTTTTCCTTGCAGTTTAACTTGTATGGCAGAATTTCTACTTGTATTTTACTTTTCCTTGTTTCTGAGGACTAGATCTGGGTTCCTAAAACTTTGTTGCAATGGGAACAACATTTCCATGAAAAATGCAAGTGATTTATTACTTCTTTTTGCTTAATGTTCTGAAGCAGCAGTATCAATCAGTTATGTAAAGGTAGTGGAGGGATAGAATGTATAAATATTTAGATTTCCCAAATGCAATATACTTGATGTTATTTTTAATCAGGTTAATGTCTTTTTGCTTATGTTATCTCCTCATTGAAACAATTTTATTTCTTATGTCAAAAAATGGACGCAAATGAGCTTTGTATTCCTAGCAGTGGCTCTACAGACCACTCAGGATCCACAGATGAGGTTTTACAAACCACATGATCTAGGACCTTAATGTTGGCCGAGTTTGCTGTCCTTCACAGTGCATGCATGTTACTCTGTCAGCTGGTGCTGTACCTCCTTGCCTGCAGATGAAAATCTGGGCCTTTATTTCAAAATCATGATTAAGATTGAACAAACCAACAGGGTTACACATGCATTATTGTGAACAGATGCTCTCCACACGTGTGCATTCCTTTGTATGCTAGAACGTTTATTAAGCATTATTGAAACCTGGGGTTACAACACTGTTTCCCTAGGGGCCTGTTTTTTAAAGCTACTGGAGATCTGCTTGGCTTGGCTTGTTCTAGACTTGAGAGCACCAACACATCTTCCAATGAATCCTGTACTGCACTGTATGTACTGTTTAGTGCAAAGCACCACAAATGTTGTTAAAGAGAAGCTGTTGGCCACAGTGCTGCTACATGCATTACAGTGCTGGATGATGCTGTGGTGGGTTTTCTCCAGTGACGAGAGCTTTGGCACACGGTGTCAGCATCAGGACCTGGAAGGCTGCATTCACTGATGCATGCTCCCATTGAAACCAACTGCTTTTCCACAGAAGGAAATAAAAACCAGCACATGCTTTCTGCACAACTTGCCCCCTTCTCCAGATATGGTCTGCTTGATAGGCACCAGGGCTGTGAGCGGCACTGTTGCTCACTTAGCACCCTAATAGCAGGGGAAGATGTCCCTCTCTTTGTTTAAGTGTTATTCCTCTTCCTTTTTGCAGATTGTTACAAGTCTAAATTCTCTTTTCTGGCCTTCCAGGTCCCGTTGTAACACACGACATTACCAGCTATCACACAATGTTTCTTTTGGCAATTTTAGGAGGGATGGCTCTCATACTTCTAGTCTTGCTGTGTCTGCTCTTGTATTACTGCAGGTAAGATTCACCATCCTGGTTACTTAGTTCATGTTGGGAATATAAGCTTTTTTGTGCTCGTGTCATTAAAAGCTTCTGTACTGAAACATTTTTACTTTGGGGGATAAGAAAAAAAGCAAGCAAGCACTTGAAGAAGAAAGAATCAGTGAGATCAAATTTCATGTGTTCCTGGGCACATACAGTGTGTACAATCCCTGCCTTTGGTAGGATGGTAGTTGAATGAATCACACACACCTGTACCTGTGTTTTCCTTGTAGGATGTTCTAAAACAAACATAGGCATAGGTCCAAGATCTGTGTCATTGTACCTGTTAACGCATTTGCAAGTGAACCTTCTATTATAGTCTTATATTAAAATGAACGTTAACTTTTATCAGTGAGTGTATATTAATGAGTGATTTTGTCTTTGCCTCCTCCAGATATTTGCTCCCATTTGTAATTGGTGCTTGAGATATTTCCCAATTGACATTAGTTATTCTTCAATTTTGTCTTCACCACTGGGATAAGCTTTTAATTGTTAGGTTATGTAATAAAAGCTCAGTTCCCCTAATATTAATCACTGCTTAAAAATCTCCCATTAAGACATGCTTGCTGTTCTTGTTTCTGTGTACAACAGTCATAAATGTGTAACTTCTTTTGTTACTGGCTTTTGTAGAAGAAAATGTTTAAGACCACGTCAGCATCATAAGAAACTGCAACTTTCCACAGCACTGGATGCTTCTAAGAAGGATCAAGCAACCTCTATGTCCCATATAAATTTAATATTTTCACGTCGCGAGTCAGAATTTCCCGGCGGGCTGTCCATTGCTAGCAATGGACACACTGAAAACTCAGGTGCAAAGGAATTAATCAGTGCTGTCCACATGGAGATGGTATCACCTAGTGGAGAAGCAGATATGCATACACCTATGCTCAAACACTCATTCAGTACTTCCCAGGAGTTCAGCTCCCGAGAGGAACTGCTCTCTGACAAGGAGAAAGACAAGAGCAGAATTTCCTTGGATGACCTGACTCCCAGCGGGTCTCTAAGAAAAGACTACCACAAATCAGCAGATAGTTTTGCTTTAAAACCAAGAAAATCTACAGAAACAGCTGAAGGCTATGAGTCCCCTATCAAAGAGGAGTATAGGAGAAGTTACAATGCTATGCTGTCTCAGCCTTTGTTTGAAAAGCAAGAGAGAGAAATTCAAGTATCTATGAACCATATTGCTACTGGAAGTAAATACAACATTCAGGAACAAACATACCCCACACCTTCAGCCCCTGAAAGAGAGCTGCTGGATTGCAGACCTACTGATTGTATAATGTCTCGCTCAGTTGATCACCTTGAAAGACCTACATCTTTCCCTCGACCAGGTCAGTTAATCTGCTGCAATTCTGTTGACCAAGTCAATGATAGTGTTTACAGAAAAGTTTTGCCTGCATTGGTCATCCCAGGTCATTACATGAAATTGCCAGGAGAACACCCTTTTGTTAGCCAGCCACTGGTCGTTCCAGCTGACCAGCAGATTGACATAGAAAGACTTCAGGCTGAGCTTCCTAACCCTCATGCACGGCTTTTTCCACACCCCCCACAACAGCTGCAACCCCAACAGTTAGCAGCCCAAGCAATATCTCAGCAACATTTGCAAGATGCAGGTGCGGCTGAGTGGAGTCAACAAAATGCTTCCATGTCTGAATCTATTTCCATTCCTGCCTCACTTAACGATGCATCCCTGGCACAAATGAACAGTGAAGTGCAGCTTCTTACAGAGAAGGCTTTGATGGAATTAGGAGGTGGAAAGCCATTGCCTCATCCTCGAGCATGGTTTGTTTCTCTAGATGGACGTTCAAATGCTCACGTTAGACATTCATACATTGATCTCCAAAGAGCTGGTAGGAATGGGAGTAACGATGCCAGTTTGGACTCCGGCGTTGACATGAATGAACCAAAATCTGCCCGAAAGGGAAGAGGAGATCATCTATCTGCGCCACAGAGTCACCCACCAGTGCAGGAGCACCAGCAGAGAGAGCGGAAGGTTTCAGATAGCACAGCTTACACACAACTTGTGTACTTGGATGATATGGACCAAAGTGGCAGCGAGTGTGGAACAGCAGTTTGTAGCCCTGAGGACAATGCTATACGATGCCTACTAGAAGGAACTAGTAAGAGAAGTGGTGTGCAGCTGCCCAGCCTGCAGGAGGAAACGAGAACTGTGGATACCAAACCAGAGCCATTAACTAGTCCTGAGCATGGAACATCAGTTCAAGATGATGAGGAGGATGAGGAGGATGAGGAGGATGACCAAGGTGAAGATAAGAAGAGTCCTTGGCAGAAACGAGAGGAAAGACCACTAATGACTTTCAATCTAAAGTGAGCTATTGTGAAAATCCACCATTCAGTGGAGTAAAAAATTGCCAAATATTCTTTCTGTGGAAGTGCTTGATTTCTTTTTCTTTTTTTTGTTGTGGAGAGAAAAGAGAAAAACAAACTGTGGTGAGCAACATTTGAAAGAACTTAAATGCATTACTGTGTAAATGTTAGAAAAGAATTAAAATCATTCCTCTGATTTAACGGCTGCCTCCAGTGAGATAGCTGAACAAAGAGTGTGATTGTTATTCCATATACTTGATATTGGTCATCCAGGATGTTGAAAATACTGACAAATTGTTTTGGTTGGTTTATGACCTCAATCTCCTTATGAATGGGAGCTGGTAAAGCTTTTGTTTTGTAGGCCAATTTTATGTTGATAATGCTACTGAAAGTATCTTAAAAACAAGAGTTTTGACACATGGTGTCTAAAATTGTGCATTATCTCAATGAAAGGCTATGCATTGCTGCTTTTAGTAATATTTTGCTTATACTATGCTTTTCTTAATTTTACAAGTTGGTTGTAAACATTTTATGTCCTTTATTATAAACTACTCAGCAATTTATTTTAATGTAAAACTGCAGGAAACTTGAGTAGCATCCCTTAGCATTGAAGCCTTTTTATGAAACCAAACTGAACTTTGTGTCGACTAAGATTCCTCCAATTCTGGTCCCATTTACTCAAAGTGCCTTTTTTACAGTAACAATGAACAGTCCCTTCTTTTGCTAACTCCTTTTAATTGACCCCATTTGGGATTTTATAAACTTCTGAACTTCTACCTTTTCTTTTAAGCTGCATGCCAAGAGTCCCATTTTGTGCTGAGCATTTCTCACTTCAATACAGTGTATTCTGTAGCTATCATGTATATTGTGGATTCTGTTTAGCCGGGATAGACTTAGAAGACATTTTAAAGGGCCCAGAGTAGCCAAGAAGATAGTTTCATTGACTGTATATATTGTTAGTTTCCTCTGGAATCATATGAGCTAATCATGCTCATATAAAATGGACTATAGACCGAGCAAGTGGACTGAATGTGTCTAGAAAAATTTTGGGAAAAAAAAATAATAATGTACTATCCAAAAGTGCCAGAATGACTCTTCTGTGCTTTCTCCATACAGAGCTGCTTGGTTATCCAAAAACTATAATTGAAAATAAACTGCAAAAAATATCTTTGTGGATTTTTTTCCTCTGTTGGTGGTCATCACATTATTTTATATTATTTAATAAGAAAAATGCCTTGTTTTCACTTCTTCTGTGCATAGTTATGCTTGTGTGACTTACACACTTTCTTATATAGTTCTCATGAACTTCAGTCAATACTGAAATTTCAACTCCTTTTCAGAAAAGCATCCTCCCTATCTTGATAAATATGTAAATATTTGCTTGAGTATCACTGAAAACGTTGGGAATTAAATCCTGGTATCACCAAAACTCTCTGTGGAGGCATGCTTCCTGTGGGACCAGTTTTCTTTCTGAGATTTCTGCAGGTACTCACACATATTGCACACTTCTCACTTCTTCGTGAATTGGGTTCAAAGAAGGGAAAATATGTGATTTCCACTCTTGTGGAATCCTTCGTATACACTCAGTTTATCATGTTTCATTCAATTATTTTTACTCAGTATTAGCAGCTTAATAAAGTTAATTATTATGTAATCTCTAAAGTTATTAGACAAAGTGTTATATAGTTCCTGTTTAATTTTTAATAATAAGTCCTGACTAGGATTCATTTCTCTTTTTTTCAGTAGATTTCAAGGTTTTCTTAGGAGGCCAGTGTTGTAATTTCCATCTTACTGAATGTCTTACCTGAGAGTCTGGGCTTGAGCCAGGAACTGAATTCTAATTTTCTAGTTCCCAGTCCAGCGCTCCTCTCTATCCACAAAGCCACACCACCTCTGTTTTGCTTTAATTCATGTTTGGAAGTGGTATATGTCATAAAAGAAATCTAAAATAATACTTGTGGAATGCATTGAATATTGAAATCACCATATTAGCAGTAAGTTATGTTTTAGTCATCGCATGCATTCCAGGTCCTTTCCTGTTCTGTTTTGGAATTTTGCTGCTGACCACATGTGAACTGGCTCTGGGGTCTGGGTTACTTATTGTCAGTCTGTGCAAAGTTGCTGAACAAAAAAATAGTACTTTAAAGGAATAGTATTTATCAGATGTCAGTAAGTGCTGGTAATACTGTGTCACTTATTAATCAGAATGCTACATCAAGTAAACATTCTGGTTAAAATTTCCGCATACTAGAATTATTATGCTATTTAATTTTCAACTTTCTATTGTCTTAAATCTGTCATTTTGAATTACATTCTTTTTCAGATTCCTTTGCAAAGTTTCCATCGTTATTATCTTGTAAAGTGAGATTGTTGCTATTAAATTGCAGTGGTTGGTTTCTTTAATTGTGTTGGTTTTGTGTTCAAAACACATAGTTTGATGGTTTGATGATTTGTGTTGCTAATACAGCAAATATATTTGAACAAACACAATGTGGATATTTTGCAAATCTTCTTTAAAATAGCATTTTTTAAATTGTGATATCACCAGCCATGTGGTAGTTCAATTTTGCAGAATATATAATTTATTAAATGTAATTCTCAGTATATGCAGTACATCAGAGCCACATGTTCAATGAAATTGGAACAGAGTAACACAGATCGGATTATAGGCTGTGATTAGAGTGTTTCCATTGTACACGCTTTGTCTAATCTTATTGTCCAGTGATGAGTTCTGTGTTTTAAGTTTCAGAAACATACTGAGGAAGATTGGTAAAATATGAAGAAATGTTGTTGCTTGTATTTTGCAGTTGCATAGTGAAGCAAATACCAATAAAGGTTATAAAACATAGAGAACAAAGTATAACTTGAATAGGTCTTGACATCAGCAGCTCCAAGTAGTGTTAGTCCATGTAGAAGATAACCTAGAAAAGCAGTTGTTTTCGTATTTTTTGATGGCCAGTATTAATGGGGAAAAAATGCAAAAGATTATAATGACAAAGCTTACAAAAGTAATAAAAATACATTGAACTTACAATAGGAAAAGGTCTTCAATTAATCTATCAGCAATCAGGATTTTCAAATGGATAATGAGTGAAAAAGTAAAGATAATTTTCAATCTTAGGTTTTATTATCCAAAGTCCCAGGGCCTGTTGGGAGTTAATACACTCATTAAGAGTCCGTTCACTTCATG